CACACACACACACACACACACACACACACACACACACACAAACACACACACACACACACACACACGAGCTCGAAACCGGGTTCAGCGTCTCTTGCATGAAAACAACAACCTACTCTCATTCTTACAGTTGAGTCCATTGACCTGTTATTTTCCAGGTTCTTTTCCTTATGTTTTGTTGTTCTGTTTGCCTTCGTTGTTTGCAGCGGAGAATATGAACTACTGCTTGACGGAATTTATGAAAATATTCACAGTATGCGGTACCACGATTCCTCGTTCTTGAAGACTGTACGTCATCATGATCCATCCATTGTCATTTTATTACTCCTGCATGCCTTTTCCTCTTTCTCTTTCTTTTTTCACTCTCGGAATATGGGCTCTTTGTATTTCATATTGGCAGCTATAGTGACCATTGAGCGGCGCAGTTGCAATCAAAAGGATAGGGGAACAAGCCTGGAAAGTTACATATCTCAGTTTCTCTTCATCATCCCAGGGTGCATTAGGCAAGGTGTTATGAGCGAACATTATTCGCGATCGTTCCAAATCTGCTGCCTGTTGCAGAGTCAACTTGTAGTTAGCCGCCACTGACAGAGGAGCATTAATCAGGTCTACTAACGTTTGACAATCCTTTATTTTTTTTTTGTTTCTCCTCCTCCTCCTCCTCTTCCTCTTCTCCCCTTTCCCTTCCTCTTCTCCTCTCCCTTCCCCTCCACAATCCTTTCGCATCCGAACAAGTAAATTGTAGAGTGTCTCAATTGTTCCCAACTCCTGTAACTCCATTAGTGCATACTTCAACGTTGCTCGTATTCTGTCTGACCAATTTACAACAGAGACTTCAAAACAAAAACAAGCGCAATGCATTCTTCAGAGGTAGAACTCTTGACCCATGAATCTGAGGTGCATGAAGCGCAACAGGCGACAGGAGTTTCCAATGATTTTTTAAAGCGTGGTCAAGACGGCAGCAGATGCTGGGCCGTCTTCGGGCCGTCTTCACCAGCTCCTCACTGAATTGCATGACGCTGGGCCAGAAGCTGAGCAGCATGATCGCAGCCAGTTCGATATGTGTTCTGCAGAGGATGAACTAGTCAGGGCTGAAACTGCTGTTCAGATGTTGGAGGTCAGCGGCAGAGTGCAACAGACAATTGACCGGGGGCGAATGGCCCTCGATCAATTTGTGGCTGAGCAGTCGGCGAAGATAGCAGGTGATGTGGCCAAGGAAGAAGAAAGGGGAGAAGCAAGTGAGAAGAAAGAAGAACCCGAACTCACTGAGCAGTTGAAAGCTGCATTGGATGCAGAGAATAAGAAAAAAGAAGAATATCAGAGGAAGAAGAAAGAACAAGAACAGCAAGAAAGAAAGGTAAAAGCAATTAGACAGATTTACTGACTTGGCATCTGTCTTGCAAAATATGATGGCCTATCTTGCACATTTAATTGAAAATTGACAACGTCACCGCCGAACTGTAGGCGGCGACGAGACTGGTGAAGGGGAAGAACAAAGTTGTGTATGAGGAGGAGGCTGAGGGGAAAGAAGAAAAGAAAGAACCCCAAGAGAAATTAATGAAAGATGCCATGAAGACGCCGGAACAACCTGAAACTGCTCGGAAAGAACCTGAGCCCACCAAGAAAGAACCGGCAAAGAAAGAGGAAAGCGAGAAGCCAAAGTGGAAGGAGAAGGTGAAGATGAAATTGCCGTTCACCTACAACGGCAAAGAGGTGAGCACTTTCTTCTTTGGATTGCCGAAATCCAGACCTACTGTAGCTTCTCTCCTGTCGAGCCAAGAGCCAAGTTGCGTTCTCAACTTCATGTCCGGGCGAAGTTGCGAAGGAGTGGGTGTTGTCTGAGGCTAATGTTGCAGGGTTTGAGGACATTGGTGAGTCGGCTAAGACCATGACATTGCGGGAATTTCTCCTGAAAATTAAGGAGAGGTTCCTCGACAAAACGACAGTCGACAAGGCCTTTGACGAGCTCACCACTATAAGTCAGAAACGTTGGACCACTGTGGATGCCTTGTCTCGTGAGGTGGATCGTTTTTTGCAGGTACATGGCCTGAACTTTCAGGACAACCAGGTTCATACAAAAGGCGAACTCAGTGTGGAGTATTCTCTGAATGTGAATGATGAGTGGCGATTGTAATACGTTTCGATCAGCTTGCAATAAGCCGCTCAAAATATGCTATTGACATTGGCCAGGGGTCACCCACAGACCACAACAAAGCCCTGCCCCAGGCTGTACCCGACCGAGGCCCTGAAGCAAGGGCTCAGAGGCCCTACGCCCGACAGTTGACTGAAGTCAACTGTAATTCGGAAATAAAGGCTCACGAGTCAAAGTCTACCTGGACCCAGTCCAGGTGAACAATCAGACACACACATTTGGCTGTTTGCAGGTATCTGAGCAGAATCTGGTCCAAGTGGAAGTCTGCAAGTGTTGAGATCCAGGCCATTGACCGCGAGTCAATCTGAGCCCTCGTATCCGGGAGACCAGAGGCTGGTCAACTTGCGTCAACATTACTTATTGACCCATCCCCTGTCATCGACATTCAGTCTTGCACTTGCTGCTCGACGCACGACGCTGGCTCGGCGCTGGCTTGAGGCTGGCACTAAGCTGGCATTATACGTGACGACGACACAATATTGCGGCAATGTGTTGCTGCCGCCCTCTGTTCTTGGCGCCAGACGGGGTATTAATCGCTGACGTGGCGCTTGCCACATCGTCTTCGACACAGATTGGGGTATCGACGAGGAGGGAGATCAGGGCTGTGAGATTGGTTGTGAGAGAGAGAGGGACCCTTACCTGATTGATGTTGTCGACATTGCGCGCTGTTGTGACGTCTTCATGAGAGATATGTGCCTACGTGGCACTATGCTGTGATCAGTTCTTGTCAGGCTCGTCTTTGGGACACTGTTTGCTGATGTGGACAGAGGGGAGATGCGGGACATGAGGGAGTTCTATCTTCGATGACATTGATGGATACTTTATCTTCCACCCTCTAAGTCTAATCTCCCACCTCTCAGCTTCGTCCCTCCATTTTTTATCTACAATACTATAAGAATCACTAACGTCATAGCTACCGGCCCAGGTTGCGGCCCGGTCACCACCCACGGACGGCCCAAATCGCAGGCCGATGAGAAACTGTTCTCATCGGCCTGCGATCTGGGCCGTCCACAGGTGGTGACCGGCCCGCAATCTGGGCCGTGCGATACCAGTTCAGCCGCCGAAATGGCCCTTCTGAACGCGCCCCCGCGCCCAGCCTTGAAATTGCCCTTCGAAGGGCTGTATATGTGTCTGCCATTCGAAGGGGCGGGCTTCTCAACCGTCTCGGGCGCTACGGTACGCGACGACACGCTACGGCATGCAACGACACTCCCTCCTACCGTACCGCTCTCTCTCTCTCTCTCTCTCTCTCTCTCTCTCTCTCTCTCTCTCTCTCTCTCT